TTCCTTCCCTCCCTCCCTCCCTCCCTCCCTTCCTTTCTTCCTTCCTCTCTCCCTTCCTTCCTTCCTTTCTCCCTCCCAGTCCTGGGCCTTGCACTGTCCCTGAGCTTCTTTTGCTGAAGGCTAGCACTCCATCCCTTGAGCCACAGCACCACTTCCAGCTTTTATGTGGTTTATGAGGAGTTGAACTCGGGGGTTCATGGATACTAGGCAAGCACTCTACCACTAAGTCACATTCCCAGCCCCATTTTTTCTTTTACTTTATCTTGAAGTGGTTGTACAAAGAGAATTCAGTTAAGTGTGTTTGGTTGTGAGTATGACCATCTTGATCAATGTCACCAAGAAGGGAAGTTTTGACTACATCTATTGTTAGGTAATGTTGCCCAAAGCAAGATAGGAAATAAGGAGGAAAAGATGTAATATTGCATTTTGACATGCTAAATATGAGATAGATATGAGGCCAAGTAGATGAAATTGACTAGAGGAAGCTGTAACTATGCATCTAAGCTTAGTGGAAAGATCTGGCCTGAAAATAAGTACTGGAAAATTGCTACTCTCTGTCTCTTTTTTTTTTTTTTTTAGTTGGTTGTGGGGCTTGAACTCTGGGCCTGAGCGCTGTCTCTCAGCTCTTCAGCTCAAGGCTAGTGCTCTACCACTTTTGAGCTATAGTGCCACTTCCGGTTTTCTGGTGGTTTATTGGAGATAAGAGTTTCATGGACTTTCCTGCCCGTGCTGGCTTTGAACTGTGATCCTCAGATCTCAGCCTCCTGAGTAGCTAGGATTATAGGCATGAGCCACCAGCACCCATCTGCCACTCACTTTCTTTTCCTTCCCTACTCTACACAACCCTTTCCTGCTCCTCTGAAATACCAAGCTTTCAGTGTATGCTCTCTGTCCTTCTCCCTCTCATCTTACTCCGTTCTCCTTTTACCTTCCTCTTTTGGCTATTTTATAAATTATTCCTTATTGATTTTATCTACAATCTATGTAGACAATATCTGACAGATAAACATTATGTCATGCTGCCTATACCTGTGGACTATTTGTACATGAAATTATGTAGTCCATAAGACAGGGAATACACAGTATTAACCCCTGGGGACTACTACTGATGGATAGCCACACACATAGCACAAATACTTTTTTTTTTTTATAGCACAAATACTTTTATGAAGCATCAGAATTCTTTGAGGAGACAGCAAAAGTAGAAAGGAGACACACAGAAGAATAATGCTCCAGAATATAAGGAGAAAAGAATTAAGAAAGGAAAGTTGTGTTAACTGTTAGACTTGTCCAGTAAAAGCTGAATAAAAGAACTTGACTTTGTTTTTTTTTCTCTCGTGTGTGTGGGAAGGACATGTGTGTGCTGTTCTTGGTGCTTGGATTCAGGACCTAGGCACTGTCCCTGAGTTTTGGGCTCAATGCTAGTGCTGGGCTGGGAAGGTGGCTTGCCTAGCATGCATGAAGCCCTGGGTTCAATTCCTTATTCCACATAAACAGAAAAAAAAAGCTGGAAGTGGTGCTGTGGCTCAAGTGGTAGAGTGATAGACTTGAGTAAAAGAAGCTCAGGATTCTTATCTACAGTTAAGTAGCATAATACCTGAGATGTGGTAAAGTACTAGCTCTGGACAAAAACAAATCAAAACTGAGCAAGAGAGTAAGGTGTAAGGTCCTGAGTTCAAGTACCAACACACATGCACACACACATATTCCCAACAGTCCTTTAGTTTATTTATTTTTTTTAATATGGTTGAAATAATTTGTATGAGATCAAGGATTCCATTCTGTAGTGGTCCATTTGAGTGTGATGTTTTCTTAGATATCATTCTAATAGAGGATGTTGGCAAACAGTACCTGGACTAAAGTTATCAGGGCTTTAGGATAAGAGTAATCAATTCTGGCAATGCCCATCAAGTAGCTATGATCTCATTAAACAAGTTATGGTACCTCTAGTTTGGATAAGGTGAGTATTTGTCAAAGTGATATACCTGTTTCAGGTGCACTTCCTATATTGAAGTATTAATAAAGTCACTACAAGAAACATGTAGTTCATTGAATTAAACAGTCTCCATTTGAATATCTTTTGAGGTGACTAGGGTAGGAGCATACTAAATGTTTTATTTAATAATTTTAATTGTTGAATTTGACATCCAATTTGCCCCCCCCCCCCTTGGTGATAGTAGGAGCTGAACTAGGGTCTGTACACTTGCTTAGTAAGCATTGTACCTCTTTCTTTTCTTTTCTTTTTTCTTGTCGGTTGTGGGGCTTGAACTCTGGGCCTGGGCGCTGTCCCTGAGCTCTTCAGCTCAAGGCAAGCACTCTACCACTTGAGCCACAGGGCCACTTCCAGTTTTCTGAGTGGATTACTGGAGATGAGTTTCACAGACTTTCCTGCCCGGGCTGTCTTTGAACTGCAGTCCTCAGATCTTAGCCTCCTGAGTAGCTAGGATTACCGGCGTGAGCCACTGGCACCCGGCTTGCACTATACCTCTTAAGTCATGGTCCCACCCCGTTTTTGAACTGTTTATTTTTGAGTTAATGTCTTGGTTTATGCCTGGATCAGTCCTCTTGGACTGCAGTCCTCCTTGTGAGTCTTCATGTTGTTGGGAATGAATGGTTCTTGCCACTACACTCAGCCTTTGGTTGGTTGAGCTGGAGTCTCACAATTTCTTTTTGTCTGGGTTGGCCTTGAACTGCAGTCCCTTTTCTTTACCTCTGGTTTCTTGGATTTCAGGCTTGAGCCACCAGGTCTGACTTGTTCCTAATGTATTCAAGGAAAAAAAGAGCCACTCTTTAGTTGGTTTGGTTTTTTGTTGTTGTTTGCGTTATTGGAGTTTGAATTAAGAGCCTTGAAGTTACTAGGCAGTCTCTCTACATTTTTTGATATTCTTCCAGCCTTTTCTTTTTTTTTTTGTTTTTGTTTATTTTTTCTTTTTTTTTTTTTTTTTTTTTTTTTTTGGTTTTTTAATCTGACGTATGATCCACTTCTGTATTCTTCACAGGTAGCTGCCCTGACAGGCAGGTACCATCATGCCTAGTTATTGGTTAAGATGGAGGGGTCTCACAAACTTTTTGCCTGTATCAGCCTCAACCATGATCCCTGGTCTGCTTCCCAAACAGCTAGGATTACAGTCCTAAACCACTCTTTCTAGCCTGTTTGTTTTTTGAGACGATGTTTCATAATGTAGCCCAGGCTTGGAATTCACAATCTTCTTACCTGTGAGTGCTTGAATTATAGGTGAAGGCCACCTCACTGGGCTTTTCTTTTCTTTTTCTTTTTTTACTTTGCATTAAATGTTTTGTATGAACTGGATTAAAGATTTGAATGGTTGCATTGTTACTTATAGTGTAAAAGGAAAATGGAAGGCTCTGTGACTAACTTTTCTGTGTAGCACCTCCTTTATCTCTGCTTCTAGTAATTATTTTAATATTTTTATTTCAAAGAACTATATATTTCTAAGACAAATACAATTTTTTTAGTTTGTGTTTTAAGATAGTTCCCCTTATATTTGTGCCCTGTTTTGATTTCTAATGCATTAAAATTTCCAGTAAATGTATACTTCTGTAGTCTTTATCAGTGCTATCTAGGTAATCTGAGCTATATATACAGTTACAAAGTTTATAGTACCTGTTAAAACAGTTAAAAATTGCTAGGTGCTGGTGGCTTATGCCTGTAATCCTAGCTAGTCAGGAGTCTGAGATCTGAGGATCGTGGTTTGAAGCCAGCTTGGGCAGAAAAGTCACAGTGAGACTAAAAAACCAGAAGTAGCACCGTGGTTCAAGTGGTAGAGTGCTAGCCTTGAGCACAAATTGGCTCAGAAACAGCACCCACACCCCACAATCAACAAAATTAAAAAGGTAAAAATATTTGTATCCCTATATGGTTAAAGTATGTTAACATGAAATCAACATAAAAGTCACTGAGTTATTTTACCATTTTAAATTGGTTTTGGTGGCAGAGCTGGGGACTAAACCCTGGGCCTTGAGTATGTTAAGGAGGTGTTCTCCCACTGAACCACATCCCCAGCACTTATTTCATATTAAATCTTTGGCATCTAGTTTGTATTTTATACTTGTCTCAATTTTGGTTATATGTGCTCAGTGAGCACATGCTGGCTAATGGCTGTCTATTGTACAGGATCTATAGAGTCAGACAGATTCTTAGTATCTAGATGAACAGACCAAAGGAGAGGTATATGAACTGGATTTGATTATTATAATATCTAGTTACCACCCAGAAGCATCTTTAAAGCCATCGGAACTGGGTTGTTTTATTTATTGGTTGGGAAGTTAGTTGATTGAAATAGCTGCAACTCTTGGGTAGATGGCACTTTTACAGTTTCGTTGAACTCAGTATGTGGATTATATAATTGAATTAATTTTACTGAATGTACATGTTCATGTGCTTCACTGAAATTTCAATATTTAACCTTCTATAACCTTTAGCACAAATGCAGTTCCAACTACAATGAAGATTTCGTGCTACAGCTAGAGAAGGAATTGGTCCAGGCCCGACTGAGTGAAGCTGAGTCTCAGTGTGCACTAAAGGAGATGCAGGATAAGGTCCTGGATATAGAGAAGGTAAGAAATTGCATAAATGCAGTTTCCTTCTAAATTGGAGGGGGAGCTGCAGAATATATTTACAAAGTATTTATTAAGCAATAAAATTGGATTTGGTGACTTACATATTAAAAGACCTTATATATTAGTTATTAATAGAGAAAATAAAATACTTTTAAGATTGCCAATTATTGTTGCCTCTATATAAATTCAAACCCCAAGATTAAGGATAAAAATGGAAATTTGAGGTCAGGCACATGGCTCAAGTCTGTAATCTTAGCTACTTGAAAGGCAGAGACTGGGAGATCATAGTTGAGGCCATCCTGGGCAAAGAAAAGTTCCTTCTCAACCAAGGTCTGAGCACAGTGATGTGTACCTGCCATCCCACCACCTCTGGGAGGAACAAGTAGGAGGATCACAGTTCTGGTGGACTCAAGCTTAATTAAAGTCCCTATCTCTAAAAATAATCAATATGAGCCAGGTGCTGGTGGTCACACCTGTCATCCTAGTTTTGAAGCCAGTCTATGAAGGGTAGGCCAGTTAAGTACTGAAAAAAGTTGAGCAAAAAAGGCTCCTCAAGCCCTAAGGCCCTACATTCAAGTCCCAGGAACAACACACACACACACATACACACAAATGTTGAATGTCTCACATGATAGAGCACTCCTTTGGCAAGTGAGAGGCCTCAAGTTCAAACCCTAGTATTGCTTCCCACCACAAAAAAAAATAAAATAAAATAAAAAACAAGGAAGGAAGGAAAGAAAGAAATTTGATCCCTTTTGTAAGGGGAAGAGAACAAGGATAATTTTTATAGGGAGAAACTTAGGAGATGGAAATTAGCAGTCTTCAAATATCATAGCATCTTTATGTGAAAGAGAAAGTAGGATTGCATGCGTAGACATTCCAGACATTCACCTCAGCATGATTGTTACTACTATCCAAGTCAGAAAAGGTCACTATAGGATATATAGGAAATGCCTCTACAACTGAGTTGTACTTACTTTTGGAAGCAAACTTATTACATTTCAAGGATATTAAGGCTTTCTAGATAAGTAGTAAAATATAAAACTTTCAGATTAAACAGATTTAATGACCTGTATTTTAGATCACAAACAGAATCTTTTCTTATCTATAAAATCATTGCTGCTCTATGCTATATGGTGAGTTTGTTCCTTTTTTTTTTCCCCCGGTCATGGGGCTTGAACTCTGGGCCTTGACACTGTCCCTGAGCTCTTCAGCCCAAGGCGAGCACTCCACCACTGGAGCCACAGCGCCATTTCCAGTTTTCTGATGGTTAACTGGAGATGAGTCTCAGGTACTTTCCTTCCTGGGCTGGCTTCAAACTGCGATCCTCAAAGCTTAGCTTTCTGAGTAGCTGGGATTGCAGGCATGAGCCACCAGCGCCCAGCTTAGTTTGTTCCTTTTTATACCAAGTTAGTACTTAGCTACTGAATCAAGAGGCCCCCTAGATAAGATATATAACAGCCTAAGTTTAGTATTTCTTTTTTTTTTTT